TTGGTTAAAATCGTATATTATAAAGAATTTTCGGCCACTGAGATTATTTTCTATTTATATAATTCTCTTTCGGGTCAATCCATAAATTTTAACTTGGGAATCGGGGCATTACATCAGGTTATATTCTTTAAGTTCTCGATAAGAGGTAGGGTTCCTATTTATTATTCATGTGCTTTTAGGCTTTTTGACAATAAGCGAAATAGTGAAACACTTGTACCCACTGCTATAAAGTGACGAATTATGTTTTTCTTTGTTTTAGTATTTATGGTATTCTATTTTGTTCATTTTTTAATTATGTTTTGCTTCTTAGCACCAATCTAGCAATGGAGTTTTGGGAGTATCATTATATATATGTATAAACGGAGGCAACAGACCATGATGGACTTTGACAATTCAACATTTTTTTTTATTTAAGTAGAGAGTTTCAAATTTATCTCACTAGCTGATAACCTACAAGGATTATCTCTATATTCTTTGATTTATTATATGTTATATTTATCTTCCTTATTTATATCGTATTTCTTTGAGAATTTATAATTACCCTAAGATCAATTTTTAGATTAGATCAAATGAAAATTTGAGACTTAAAATATATAATTTTTATTCTTCATATCGTTAATAAATAATATAATTTTCATGTTTTTCTAGAAGACTTAAATCTAACTCATACGCACCTGTAGAATATGCTGTTTGAATTTGAGTTATCTAATAAATGAATTTTTTAATAACCAAGACCATATTAAAAATTTCTCAGTGTTTTCTAAATTTCTCATAATGAATGGAATTGTAGAGCCATCTTAAATTTAATAAATTAGACTCGGAGGATGATTTTGGAAGACAATAGTACTCTAAAGTCTTTGTTTATTAGAAAGAAATTGTGTGAAAGCAACCAAACCTTTTAACTTTTTGAAATAATTGGCATTGAAATATAAAGCTGATTAATTAATAAGAAATATATATATATATATATACGCACATGAAAAACAATTAGTACTGTAAGAATGAGGCGTGCACATTTTATCATTTCATAATTGAGACGTAGCACTAGTAGCTATCACGTTTTGGTATAATTGATTCTTTCTTCTAAATGACAATATTATTTAAACATTAAGGGCTAAATGCATAATTACACCAATTTCTTTGACTGCCACATCAACATTCCCGTTAATTATAAACAATTAGTGGTTTGATTGAACACATTTAAATAGCTAAGTGGTCTGATTGACAAAATTAAAAGATCAATGGCAAAAGTAAAAGGACTACATAGATGAGTTTTCAATAGTGTAACGCCCCGGATCATGTGTTAGTAGTTCAGGTCAACCCGAAGCCTAAAGTTGAGCCCAATTAGACCTTATAAAATAGTTGGACCCAGTTTAGTGTTTTTGGGCTTGAGTTGGGCCTAAGAGTTAATTGGTAAAAGATGAATGTCTTATGAATTAGAAAATAAAGGAACTAAAAGTGCAATTTACCCAATTCTTAATTCAAAAGTTGAAAACTCCACTATTTTATGAGATATACGGGAACAACTCCCCATTTTCCCACCAAACACTCATTTTCTTCTTCCATCTTTTCTCTTTTCTTCTCCCATCTTCAAGTTGAAGGATTTGAGACTTCAAGTTTAGTTTGGATCAAGCAAAGGTAAGATTATTAACCGTCGCCCTTCAAGCTTCATTTTAAGCTCCATTTCACTAATTTTTATCCATAGAGAAAAATGAGTTTTTAGAGAGTTTGAGAATATATGGATTCTAGATATGTTTTGGATTATAAGGAGTTATTTAGAATGTATCCAACCTATAGATAGATTAGTAATCCATTTTCTTACCTTGTTTAGTGAAGGAAGTGGGAGAGAGTTCCAAACCAAAAGACAAAATAAAGTTGAGCATTGGTTGAGTTGATGAGGGTTGTAGCCACCAAAGAAGCAAGGTAACACATTTACAACTCTTCTATACTCTTAGTGAGTCATTAGAAGTTCAAAATAGTTTAAATGGTTGAGTTGAGCATTGGAAGCATTTTCATAGTGAAATTCTTGTTTTAGAGTTATAAATGTGTTTAAAGCTTCTATTATGACCCTTATTGATTCAATAAAACTTTAAGCATGTTTGGGGACATCACTAAGGTCTTTAGGTTTGAAATATAGAATTTTTAGTATGTGTGTGATGACTTATGTAGGCAGAGTATCGATATTATGTATCAATGCTTGTTCTTTGTTTTGGGCAAATTCGTGTATTTTCGGGAAAAAGTATCGATACTCTTTTAAGAGTATCGAAACTTTGGGTCATAGTTTCGAAACTTCCATAAAGTTTCAAAACTTGGCAGAACAGAATGTTTAAAAGTATCGATACTTATATGAAGTATTGAAGCTTTTGCAGCATATCGATACTTTCAGTCTGTTTTGGGCAAAAATGTAAGTTTTTAAGGGAATTAGACTCGAGGTATCCAACACTTCATTTTTTCATAAAATAAGAATGCAAATGAGAATATTAATGATATTAATTACACTTAGAAACAAGATTTATTAGGATGACATAAAAATAGCCTTGGATGATGCTCGGGAAACGACCAAGACACCCGAGTTCCTTTAGAAAATGCTAGCATTATCGAAAGTATAGATTCAGTCCAAATATATCCTTAGGTAGGGTCGAGGCTCTTCTGAATAACTATGTTTGTTGCTGCCTTAACACTCTTTAGAAGAAAGGGTGGGTTAGTCAGGGGTATAGTTTTCGATGCAGAGAATTTCGGGGGCCGTATCCAGGGTAGACTAGAGGGGTGTGTGAACTCCGAGATGCATAACCCTCAGCCGCACCATGATATCTACCATAGCGTAGAGAGTGAGTATTCGAGAATATTCACTAGAGCAGTTTTAAAGCATACTAGCTTGGGCACAAGATCCAATACTCAAGGAGTGGGCTAGTAGAACATAATAGATAGTATAATAGATATCAATAGACTTGATAGCTTGAGCATGTCATGAACATTTTTAGTATGACTTAGTTGTTAGTGTGGCACTAGGCCAGTTAGCTCAACGTTTGGAATTTGTTTCCTTACGCAGGTTAGACAAGCAGTCCGAGGACTTTTTGGGACCAACAGTCACCAGACCCAGTTAGTGCAGAGTACGTCTCAGGTCATCTTTATAGAGGACATGCATACCTGTGAACCCTTCGTATATTTTTGTATGGGTCGTTTTTGAGCGATGGTCTGTATGATTTGAAATAATATTTTTGGGAGCTCCTGATGTAAATCATTTTATTTAAATTGTGGTTGATTTATTTTAGCATGATTGTTTACAATGGTCATTTTTAAAGTGGAAAAATTTAAAAGAAAATTTTGGTTAATCACTCCGGTGGTTTCGTGTAGCATTCTGATCGGTTGATTGTGCGTCGTACCGGTTTAAGGTGTTACAAATAGTATAGTTTACCCTTTAAAATAATCTATCAATATATCAAATAATTACAGCCGTAAGCTTAGATAATATAAATTAAATACACTTTTTAAACTAATTATTTGTTACATTACTTGATTTTTTCTGCAAACAATTTTAATCCATGTTTTAGACTTTGATTAATATTTAAATAAATGAATAAGATATATGACAATAGATTGAGATTGGAGAAAAGTCCAGTATTAATATATCAAATAAGAATTTATTATATATATTAAGAATAAAAACTAAGAAATGTAAATAAATCAAGCTTTTTTTTTTAATGTGGGTTGAATACTTGATATAAATCTTTTATCATCCTTATGCAATTTATAACATAAATATGAGGAGCGTTGGACATTGCAAATACAGATGATAGGTTAGGCATCTAATCATGTTTAAATTTGGTAATAATCAAGGTTGGTGAAGGCTCGTTAAGATGTGGATTGATGTAAAGCCCAAATAATCATTAGGCTTTTCAAGTTTTAGTTTAGGGGGGGAATACAGTCTGGTCCGTTCCATGAAGATCGTGTACTAGGCTAGGCTCTGCCTTTCCTTGCATTCCGTGGCTACAATTTGAATTAGGGACGCAAGTAACTTGTTTTTATAAATCATATGCACTCTAATCTGATAGTTATTGAAATTGACTGAGTCACCTTAATCATAAAATAGGACTATTTTAGAAGATTCGAGTAGTTAGTTATGTATGCAAGATTCATACATATTGTCAATAACTAAAAAGATTCTGAATAAATAGTATCTTGTAATCATCTTATATTATTTTTTAAAAAATCAATTATTATTGATTATAGTTTGAGTTATTATAATCATCCTATATTATTTAAAAAATATTATCTATTTTATCGATTATACTCATTCTAAAATTATATTTATATTCTTTTCAAATAAAATTTTTATATTATTAATATTCTAAATTATATTTATGAATGTGTCACATGCCAAACCATTGGGTTGATTGTTAATACCATTAGATGGTACGAAGTTTACCCAAATCCGCGTAAAATTGGTCTAATGGAATTTTGGGTTCATTGTAAATTTCCACGCGGTGAACGTGGAGAACGTGCATGCAATTCATCTCTTCCTGGAATTTAATTTCTTATTAAATTAAATATTTACTATTTTTCAAATATATTATTGAATATTTGGTTGAATATAAATTGTTTTATAAAAAAATTACTGTCTTGTTATAGTATTAATTTTAGAAAATGTTATAACTTATCAGTTAAAATTACTTAAACGACTTAACTGATTTAACTTTTTAATATAAAGGCTTAATTAATTTAATTTTTCGATTTAAAAGTATGATTGAGTGTAAAAAATCAAAAATTTAATTCATGTATTTTCAAAAATTTTGAGCGCTTCATGCACATTTAAGCCTATTATAAAAGCAAATATGTAAAGTTACTTACAAAGACAAAATATCAAATGTTAGCACAATAGAGGGACTGAAACCAGACTTTGACCAAAATAAAAAAGTATATTCCAAAGCTAAATACCCAGCTCCCAAAGTTGCCTTCAACCGCCCAAAAAACCCACCAATTAGGGTTTCTTCAGTTTTCTTTTACTTCAAACTTGACCAAACTCAACAAATGAATACCTATTTCCCTTGAAACTTCCCACTTCCTTCTTTTAAACCATGAGATATCAAATGAACCCCCAAACCCCCCATTTTCTGTTTTAATGAGATATTATGAATATGGAGGCAAGAGTTGGACATTCTTCAAAGCAGGGGTTGCCTCCGCATATTGGAACTGTTCAACAGCTTCTCGCCGGTGGTATTGCTGGTGCTTTTGGCAAGACCTGTACCGCTCCCCTTTCTCGTCTAACCATCTTATTTCAGGTATGGTTTTACCGTTGCTTCTTGTGTTTATCAGAAAAATGAAATGTTAATTTCTTTTTTTTTGTTGGTAATTTGATCTGGGTATTTCGTGATTTTATATGTTTTCGATTAGGTATACCTGGGTTGGGATTAGGATTATTTTGTGAGATCTTTTTTAAAGTAAAATTTGTTGTGAAGTGTATTTTAAGTTGTGGGTAGACCTGCCGATTTTAATCCAAGCCCCGAAACTTGACCTGTTTTACCTGATTTCGAACTAGCTTCAACTCAATTTAATCCCAAAAAACAACTCAAATCGAATCTGAAAAGTAGCGAAATGTCTTGAAATAACTTGCACTAAAAATCCAACCAGTAATTTTTAATGATCCGAACCCGAAAATTTAAAAATTCGAATTGACCCTATTTAAAACCAACTCAATTCATGTGTACATCGAGCATGAAATAACATAGTTGTAGTTGCAGCTTAATGATTTTGAATTATATAATTCAGAATGCCGGTCCTGAGTTTAATACGCCAGGCTGTTACATTAAGCATTCAAATACCTTCTACCTTAACTGTTGAAAGATGATCACATATTTTTTCAGGTGCAAGGAATGCACCCGGATGTATCATCAATGAGCAAGGCTAGCATATGGCGCGAGGCTTCACGAATAATTAATGAAGAAGGTTTTAGAGCATTTTGGAAAGGCAATCTGGTTACCATTGCTCATCGACTTCCGTATTCTGCCGTCAGCTTCTATGCCCATGAACACTACAAGAATGTATGCTCTCTCTCTTTATAGCATGCTTTGTTTTCAAGTTCCCAACAGGATTTTTCATTTCATTCTTTCATTTCTTTTTGCAGTTGTTGCAGTCTATTCTTGGTCTGGAAAATGAAGGGAAAAATGCTAGTTCTGATCTTTGTGTGCACTTTGTGGGTGGTGGGTTAGCTGGAATGACTGCTGCCTCAGCTACATATCCTTTGGATCTTGTAAGGACACGACTTGCAGCACAGGTAATTTCAGTAATATATGGGTGATTAATGCAGTTGCATTGCATAGCCTTCAAACACGGTTCACATATAGTCTACTGCTCCACGTTTATGCATACAGTTTCTGTTTTTGTTCCTACTCTCATTTCAATCATTCTTCTGAATTTTGCAGAGAAATTCAATATACTACAGAGGCATTTGGCATGCTTTTCATACTATTTGTAGGGAAGAGGGATTTTTGGGCTTGTATAAAGGACTTAGAGCAACACTATTGGTATATGAATTGTTCTTCTTGAATTCTTTATTTTCCTATCACATTGTCTGTAACTGCTCATGAAATGCTATATTCAATGCCAGGGTGTTGGACCAAGTTTGGCAATAAGCTTTTCGGTTTATGAGTCTTTGAGATCTTATTGGCAGTTGCAAAGGTAAAAGTTCTTATTGGTTTAGATTTATTGAAAGCATGCCTTCTTTTCTGCTGTCTCTTCTTGGTGCCTTTAAGCTGTAAATTGTTTTGAAATTTCTGTCACTTTACATCAGGCCCAGTGATTCCAAAATCATGGTTAGTCTTGCCTGTGGCAGTCTCTCGGGCATTGCATCATCAACAGGTTAATAATCTGCAACCCTGCTCTTTGCTTTGACTCTCAATTATTTAGAAGCTGCTTCTGATCTCTTCGCGATTTGTTTTTTCTTCGTGGATGATTTGCAGCGACATTTCCTGTCGATCTCGTGAGGAGACGTATGCAACTGGAAGGGGCTGCCGGACGAGCCTGTGTTTACAAAACTGGGTTGTTTGGGACTTTCAGGCACATAATCCAGTCTGAAGGCCTTCGTGGCTTGTACAGAGGGATTCTGCCCGAGTACTACAAGGTGGTTCCTGGTGTGGGCATAATCTTCATGACCCATGAGACTTTGAAGATGCTTCTATCAAGCAACCCTATAAGTTATTAGCATCATCTCAGACTCCCACTTTTTGGCAGGGTAAAAGGAAATTAGGGTTAAAAAGGGAAAGAAGTCGGTTAAATTAGGTCAAGATATTGTCCTGTGGTTCTGCTAACTGAGAAACACTGGTGGTAGGTTTTGCTTTTGTTGCCATGAATAGAAGTACATCATTGTGTAGCTCCAACATGCTTAGGCCTTAACGTCCATAGAATTAGCACTTATAGATGATTTTTATTCCACTTGTTTGTAACCTGCCTCCATTCAGGTCGGACGGGCTGCCATTTTTCAATTCTTTTGTATTTGAAGCGATATTTAATTACAAATGATGGTTATTGACCAGAAAGCTTTGTTATATGGAAAATGACTGTTCGTTGAGGGCATCAACTTTTGCCCATTGCAGAAACCAAGTTCTTTTCAGTTTTTATATATGGTCATTGTTAAAAGATCAGCCTTGATGTTTTCCTTGGCCCTGAGAGTTGTCCCCTTCTCTATGCTTCAGTAAATGACCTCGGGATTGTCCTGGAACAACATCGGTAGTGATGTTAGGAGCCAGTGGGCTACTCCATGGTTGTCTTTTGTCAGCGGTACGACATTTGACCGTTGTACTTGCTTGTGATGTTTCTTTTTCAGCAAAGCTCACTTCGGCCATGATGAATTGACACCTTCACTCCGGAGTCTTGTTGGTTTTGAATTTTGTGGGAACTTTTGGACTCTTTGCATCATATCTGCCTCTTGTGGCTGGTGGCCACTTGTAGACGGCTATGGTTCCACACGGACGACATTTTTGGTTGGTACTATGATTGTTTTGGGCACTTTTTTCTTTGGGCTTTGTTATAGTATGTCCTCTTCTCCCTCTTCCCCCCATCACGGAGGCGGCAGCGGCTCGTTTGTTGAGGTTTGAGGAGTTTTGGCTGGTTTGTGCTTTAAGGCTTTTATAATACCTTTGAATTTCTTGAGCCTTTTACCTGGCTTTTTTATGGAATCAAATATATTGAGAAAACCGGAATACTTACAATTTTCCCTTTTTGGGTACACCGAAATACTTGCAATCAAATTATATTCATATTTAAGAGTTAATATTAAACCCTAATAAATGGTCAATGTCAATCTCCTTAAATGATTTAAGTTCCAATAATTGTCTACAAATGTGCATCAGTTCGGTATCGTTCTAACTTTTGCTTCTTTCAGCATATTAGCAGAAGAAAAAAAGTGCCAAGTAGAAAACAATAGCACAGCTAAAGATTTTATTTTATTTATATGTATATATATATATATATATATATATATTTAATCGCAGAAATGAGAATATTACAACATCCAAACGGGATACAGTTGACCCATTAACACCTCAGTTCCCCTTTTATCAAAGAATGACTGTACAAATAGATATTTTTACACAATGCCACAGAGCAAGCTATCAGGATCACAAGTTCAACAAAAAGGCAAAAAATGTTAAGACTCTATGGCAGATTCTTGTTCTTGAGAAGTGCCATCCTTTGGGATCTTGAGTAACCTTGCCTGTTTCTAAGAAAACCGATGTAAGTTCGATGTCTATACCGGTCCGAGTTTGTGAGGGAAAATGGAGGGCTCAAAATGAGGGATGGTGCTTCGACTAGAAGGAACACTAATAAATACACTGCCTTTGAGTACAGAATTGCTGCACTTTCCATTTCACCCATGAGCTCATCGACCTGGAAAGATATATGCAGGGTAAGTTTCCTTCAATTGTTGACTTTCATGATGAATAAATATAAAACTTCATTTGTAAAAGATCTCTGCTCGATCTATTATCCTATTTCTTGTTCTTTTCACTTCATTTGAATGGGACAAGACAATGCCTAGTCAATTAGACTGACAGATGAATACAGTTTAGGCTATTGCATGATATGAAAGTTAGAAGGAAAAGACTCACTCCTCTACGTCTTCCCAAAGCAAGCGCAGCCTGAAATATCGTCTCCATCGCATCAGGCATCTCTGTACTTCCTGCAACCGTGACAATAAAATGCTATTTAGACTCTAAAACTTTTTACAATGAGCAAAAACGGAATGGCTTTGTTTTCATGCACATCAGCAATAACTGAAATGACTCTTGGGCAATTTCAGAAGTGGGGCAACAAATATTGATACAGGGAGTGATAATTATCAAAAGGCAAAACAGGCCCAATAGCCTTCGCAAGTTCCTCGGCATTCTCAACTTCCCGGAGAAATTCCCTCTCTATCTCTGAGGATACATATTCTGTACATTCTTCCGTATCAGATGTTCCATGCTTCTTGCTGGCACTTCTCAATCTGTTTGTCTCTTCGCTTGGACGTCCTTCCATGGCTGATGCAGCCTGTGTATGGCATATATGCAATGCTTGCTTCCATATTGCAAGAATCACAAGCTGGATTGAGAATGCTTCGAGATGCCCATCTGTCTGGGTCTATAAAAGAACCATGGTAATGTTACAATATAAAACATCCTCAATAAACTTCATGAAAGCAAAGAAAATACCAAGTGAACCTAGCTAGCAAAATCTGCTCCACAAGCAACAGCGATTATAATTAGGAGTGGCATTGAGTCATATCATTTAAATATCTACTATTGCACGAACCTTACCGACCCAAAAGTCACATATGGAGCAGCAGAAAAGAGCAGTAGGTAGAAAATCTAAATGTTGAAGCTGTTTACACTGGCAACTTCAACCATAAAATATTTGCCTCTCATACTACAATCTAGTAATTTTCAATGAGATCACTCATTGTGTAAGCAAATACGGTCAACAACATATATTAACACATCATGCAAAGGCCCATTCAAGAGAGCCAATCAAATGTTCCAGCATACCAAGATGTGTACAAATGAGACATTTATTGGTTAAATGGCAGCCAAACATGCAGGCGTGGGAGAAGGTACTAAAAGAGAGAACTAGTATGATATTCTACCATGCATAACACTCATAGTAGGTATACTATGGACTAACCTTTTCAAGCACTAATTCTGTAATTGCAGATGCGCACTGCTGTAATGATTTTATCCTTGTCGTGCAATGTGATGATGGCTGTTCCAGAGCATCCCCAATATCCAAGGATCCTGGAGAAGTCTCAGGGGAAGAGCTCTGACTTTCCAAGCTTCCTACATGATAGACGTTAATATTGGTTGCCCCAACAATAAGCACAGGAGCTGTTGATGTGGTGTCACTCGTAAAGAGAATCAGAGGTGGACTCTCTGGTTTGTATGGAATATGGTTTGGGTTGGAAGTGCTAGATGAAGAGGATGACACATCAATGGGAGGTCCAGATACAAGAACATAATCTTGGTCGATTAACTCCAGCGCATCCCCAACTATGGAAGCAATGCAAGAGTATGACATGTTATTCAAAGTATGACAATTGCTCATGCCATGTATACTTTATTTAAAGGATTAGAAGATTGTTCTCTAGTATCTTTTGTTTCGGGAGAAAATCCATGAGGATATTTCCTGAAGACCTCTTCTTTCCAAAGGAAGGGCTCCCTTCAGGACCACTTGAATCATCATCCAGAAAGAAAGGAAGACAGTCCTCTTGAAAGCTTTCATCAGTATTCCTTCCAGGACTGCTTTCGAAAAAAGAATAACCAGTTCTTGAAATTCTCTGCCTCTCTGAAAATACAGTAATGGATCATTAATTCATATTTAGGGAACTGAAGGATGATGTACATCAAGACAAGTTGATGGGAACAATCATTTCCTTATTTACCTCAATGGTTCATTTGGTTGGCCCTGAGAAAGAAATGGGTGATTAAAGAACTCTTCAAATGTTAAACGTTCCACTGCAAATGCAAGGAAAAAAGACACCATGAATGAGGCAAAACATATAAATAAGAATTGCTCGGCACAGTTTATTCTTATAGCATTACTAAATGAAACATGACTCTTATGGTACTCTTTGCTCCATATCTTCATGGATCAGCTAAAGCTTTATCTTAGGATCATCCTTTTTCATTGATCTAAGCATTTAGAGGCTGTTAGATTAGAATAATTCTTGTAAGTTGAAAACTGAATAAACAAATAGGAAGATAAAGGCATTCGCCCAAAATTGCAAGCCAAAAGGATAAGAACTGTAGGTACAAACTACACAATTCTAGTTGAGGTTGAAGCCTATGAATTAAAGTGTTCTTCCACGTACTCTAATTTTGGACCCCTCACGTCCTAGAATTAAGTAAGCACCTAATAGTGAAATTGAGGTTATGTTCTCTAATATGTCAGCAGATAATTCAATTGTACATGTCAGAGATTTGTATTTAATGTCTACATTTGTGAAATACCTGGATTACGGCGCAGCAGTCTTAGACATAAATCTTTGCAATCAGCAGTCAAATAATTGTTTTCCACAGGGAAAAGCAACTCAGTTGATTTCATAATATTCTGGAGTAACTGCATAAGACAAGATACGAAAAATAGATTGACAAAACTGCAAATGCACCAAAAGGATCACCAGTCCAACTCAGGTGAACAATTGTAAGTCTAAACTTAGAATTTTTTAGAAACCCAGGGACTACTTTACACAAAGAGAAAGTTCATTAAACCTGAATTTGATTGTTTCCAGTGAAAGGAGTTTTCCCAATAACAAGCTGAAATAAAATAGCCCCAACACTCCAAAGATCTGCCTGTGTATTAAAGTCAAACTTAGCAGGCAATAATTTCAGGTAGAACAAGAAGAGGAAAGAGGAGCCATGGGAGGGGAGTAACTATCACCTTTGCATCATACTTCTACAGTTGCATTATCTCAGGAGCCATGTAAAGCGGTGAACTACATAATGTTTCGGCAAGCCCCCTAGGTTGCAGAGATCTGACAGAACAAAAGTGCTATGTTGTAATCATCGACTATGCATGAAAATTTCATTAGAAAAATGATTTCCAGAGCACTGTTTCCACGAAATTAAAATCTTTTCCATCTTCTTTCCCCTATCATACTTAGGGTTATATAAACAAATGAACATTTTAATTGCATAAATGATAATAGACAATAGGGTAAAGTATAAAAATGATCCCTCGACTATATGGTACTGCTTTGTTGAGTCTCCGTCTATTAAAAGTTACAAAATAGTCTCCCGCTATAGGGCGTTGCTTTGTTGAATCTCGACCATTAAAAGTTATAAAATATTCACTTGACTATTCATATGTTCCAAATTTATCTTCCAAAAATCTCAAATGATTATCACATCCCAGTCAACGTGTTAACATCCAGCTTAGACTACTGTCAATTTTTAACGGAAAATGACGAGTTTGGAACATATGAATAGTCGGGTGATCATTTTGTAACTTTTAATAGTAGAGGGACTCAACAAAGCAATTCCTATAATTGGAAGATCATTT